TGCCCCAGCCGTGACCGCCCTGCCAGCAGCGATGTCCCCAGGTCGCCACCTCTGTGCCCACCAGAGGCTCAGCATGCCTGGCTTCCCCTTCTCGGAGAGGAGAACACCACCCAGTGCCAATGCCAATGCCAGTGCCGGTGCCAAGGCCTGGCCGCGGTGTGCAGATCCCAAATGGAATCAAATGCTGGTTTACTCCTCTGGTTTTAACCCCACCGTTAATTACTCTTTGATTTCCCTGCTATAATATAGATCCCATTAAAAAAAAAAAACAAAACAAAAAGAAAAAAAGCCAAAAAAACCCACCATGATTTTTCCTTGAGCAAGAACAGAGGACTGGGGCTGGTTTTGCTTCGTTTTGGTTTTTCATTTTCTCTTATAGGTTTCTTTACCTTGGAATTATTTTTTTTCCCAGCTGGTTTTTGGGGTCTGTGAGTTTGGGCTGGGGAGTTACTCATGGCTGTTGTCTCTTTCTGGAGCTCGATTCTCCCGCTGCCACCACGGGTGCAGCCACTCCGACCTGGCAGGGCCCTCTCTCCCAGTTCCCCCCACTGGGAAAATGGGAACCCACTGGTGTGGCCCCAGCATTGGAGTGGAGAAAGGGGGTTGGGGGAGTGGAAATTGCCCCAAAATAGCCCCCAAATACCCCCTAAATAGCCCCTAAATAGCCCCAAAACAGCCCTGGGGCTCTGCTCCTCAGGCTGTTCCACCCCGTGGCCTCCTGCCCGGTTCTCTGCCAGCCCCCCTTGCACAAAAGGGTTTTTGGGGTGCCGTGTTGCACCTTTCCCCTTCCCTTCGTCCTTCCAGACTTAGCTGAGAGGGAAAACGCAGATTTCGGGAAGAATTTCTGGCTGCTCACGGGGTAAGGGAGGGGCTGCAGCGCCCATTGGAGGCACCCAGGGTTCCTCCCACCTGCACCCCCATATCCAAATTACATTCCCCAATTTCTATCAGGGCGGGGACCCTCCCTGACCCCTCCTGGAGCCGCTCGCCCCCCGGGCTGGGCGCTGCCCGTGGTTTCTTTTCTCCCTTGGCGGTTCCCCATCACCCACCTGGGCCAGCAGCGGCTTCTCCGAGGGCAGAGGGGGCCGGGCCGGGGCTCTCCTGCAAGAGAAACCGAGAAGAGGGAAAGGGTTAAAAACGCAGCAGTGCCCACTGTGCCCATGCAGCCCCCGGGGCCGTGGGACAGCTCGGAGGGGTCCCGGTGTGACCATTCCCCATCAGCACTGAAATGGGATTTGGGGACACAAAAATGAAATGAGATTTTAGACACACAAAAATGAAATGAGATTTTAGGCACACAACCGCCTGCTTGACCCTCTTTTGATTCTCCTCTTTATTAAATTCACATTTTAACATTCTTAATTTTTATTCCAGTCCCCTCTATAAATTATAATATTTTTTTTAACCTGCCAAAAAAGAAAAAACACGACGAATTTTGCGATTCATCCCGAAAAAGGCTGCAAAGACAGGGATTGCTCTTTCAAATTTGGATTCACCCTGGGATTACCCCGATGACAGTGCATTTTTATTTCTAAATTTAATTTAACATCGCGTTAGAACCAACCCGATCTGAGAGGATTTAGGGAAGGGCACGAGCGATTTGCAGAAAATGCTCGGGTGTGTTTTGAGTGTCTTGACAAATAAAAACCTGCTCCGTGCTTTGCTGTCTTTCTGAGGGGGAAAAAAACCCAATCCAAACCGCAAGGAAGCAAAAGGAGCCGGCGCTGCGACCGCGGGATCTCCCTTTGAACGGCAGATTTGAGGATTTCCAGCCTTAAAACTTCCACGCACATCAGTGCATATATAAAAACTTAATTTCCGCGGGCTGAAAACGGGGAGGACGTGACCTGGTGGGTGCCATGGGCTTTTTTTGCGGAGCCAGGAGTCCACGTACGACCCCAAAAATAGACCCAAAAAAAGCCCAAAATAAGCTAGGGGTTGATTTTTTCCCCTTTGCACTCTTTGAGCGCTGCTTCTTCCCCTCGCTAAGGAAAGAATCAAGGACAGGGATGAGGCTTTTAAAGACCAAAATCAAAACAACAACAACGACAAAAAAAGGACAATCAGAACTAAAATATAAGTTAAAATAAAAAATTAAAATTAAAATGAAGATTATAGCTTCCTTGGCAGGAAAAAACAACCAAAACAAACCCCCAAAAAAGCCATGTGGGATTTTCCATCGGCGGCAGGAATGGAACACCCGGGCCCGCTGCAACCGAGAGACGAATTTCGGCCGGAGCATCACGTTTGGCTTCAATAACTTCTATAAAAACCCCTAAACCCGTTTAATTTGGGTTCCCTGCACTGCCTGAGGAGGGGGAGCCTTAGCGGGTCCATCCCAGGGCAGGAATTCAGAGCTATTAATGAAGCTGCTCCCACCTTGTTATGGTGGGGGGAGAAATTGAAGAAATTCCGCACGGGGAGAAGTTCCCGAGGTGGGGAGGAACCGTTCCCGCTCCTTTCTGCCTCGGAGGATGTGCAGAACCTTTGCTCTGGGCTTATTTCCGCTCTCATTTCATTCATTGGCTTATTCCAAATTTAGGATCCAGCCCCGCGCATCCCAACCCTCCCCAAATTCCTGCTCGGGGATGGGGGCACCAGGACCCTTCTGTCCCCTCTCCCTCGGTGTCTGTGTCACCGCTGCCCCCTCCCCGAGGCTCAGCCCGACCCCCGGAGCATCCTCGGCCACCCCTATGAGAGCGAGGATTTGGGGGTCCCTCCGAGAGCATCCCCTGGAGCAAAGCACAAAGCGCCGGGGCTTGGTGAGACCCAGGCCGCTCCCATCCCCTGCCCCAGGCACTCTGCACCCCAAAATCTGGATTTTCCAGCCGGGAGAAGGTGGAAGAAGTGAATCCCTCACCCAAAGTGGCTTTGGGTCACTTGCGGGCCGAGAGAACAGCGAGGATGGACGCGCTCGGCCGTGCCCAAACTTTGGGCGCTCGGGTGCGGGAATGCGGCGGGACGGGAGGAAAGGGAAGAGGGAAAAGGGAAAAGGGAAAAAAAGGGAAAAAAAGGGGGAAAAAGGGGAAAAGGGAAAGGGGAAAAGGGAAAAGGGAAAAGGGAAAAGGGAAAAGGGAAAAGGGAAGGAAGCTCCCCCTGCCCCGGGGATTTAGGAGCAACTCCGACCCCTCATCCCCGACCCCAGGCAGGAGCTGGACCCTCTCCCGGGGCATTTTCCCCGCAGCTCTGCGGCCCCCAGCCCATAATAAAGACGCTTTGAGAGTCCTCTCCCCCTTCCCCCCCCCCGTCCCCCCCTTTACTTTTTTTTTTCTTTTTCTTTTTTTTTTTATTATGGTTTTCTCACCGAGTCCAATAAATCGCGCGGCTCGTCTGGCCTCAGACGTGTTCAGCAACCCAAGCCCCGCCGCTTTTGTTCCGCCAAGTCTCACATTGTTTGTCCGGCTGTGCGGGGAGGCTGCGGGGGCTCCGCGGGGGCTCCGCGGGCTGGGTGAGCGATGCTCCCCCTTTCTTTCTCTGGAGTTACCCCGAGTTCTTCACCCACCTGGGGGATGCGCCTGATGGGCAGAGAGTCCTGACAGCTTGGAGCGGTGCCCTCCTTTCAGTGCCCTGCGTGCCAGGCTGCCCATCAAGCTCTGTGCCCACCGTGCCCACCGTGCCCTGCCCTCACCTGCCCGGCTCTGCCGCGGCTCCTGGCCGTGCCCCCGAGCCCGGAGCCGCCGGTGGAGCGGAGGAGCGGGGGCCGTGCCCGCCGTACGGATATATAGGAGCGGCCGAGCAGCCTCCACGTAGCCGATACGTAAAGTGTACGTGGGAGAGTTAAAAAAAGTTGGGATGCAAATGCGGGGCCAGCTCCGTGTTGCGAGAGAGGGGGGGGGTTGGCGAGCTCAGAGCCGCGCTATTTCCAAGCTTCCTTAACCTCTGGATTGCTCGGAATCGATCGGCAAAGCGCGGCGAGCCTGGCAATTAGGAGCTCATTACCATATATGCAAATATGGCAACCTCTCTCTCTCCGCAGCTACGGAGAGAGAAGCGAGGCAGCTTTGGGGGGTGGGAAAGGGGTGAGGCGTGCTGGGGAAACGGGGATAACGGGGGGAAAAAAGGTGATTTGAGGGTATTTGGGTGGGTTTGGAGGAAAGCAAAGAGTGCTTGAGGGGCCCGTGAGCCGGCTCCCAATTCGCTCTTTAATTCCAATTAATATTTTCTCCCTTTGCCATTAACGAGCAGCACGGCCCGGCCCCGGTACCGGGAGCCGCTCCCCAAAGGGCGCGGTGCCCTCAGCCCGCCCCGGTAACAAAAACCCGAGAATTCGGAATAAAACACGCGCGGAGGGCCCGAGCCGGGCTCCGAGCGCTCCAACCCCGGCCCCAGGGAGTGTTTTAAAGGTAACCTCTGAACTTCTTGCGTTTTATTAACAATAAAACCCCACCACGGAGCGCAGATCCCCGGTTCTGCACCGCGAGTTCCCCGCTTACCTGCGGGTTTATAAACAGCGCGGGGCTTTTTTTCTGCTCGATAAGCAGAGATTAGGGGTAAAATCTCCCTGGCATTTCCTGAGTGTTGGTTAAAGCTGGGGGGACACGGCAGGAGCAGCGCAAGGCGAGGATTTTTCCCCGTTTTCGCCTTTGGCATCTCGCAAAGTTTTCCCCCTGCGCGGAGCTTCCCCCTCGATTTGGGAATTGACTTTATTTTCCTCCTATCACAAATTTGTAATCACGGCGTATTAAAAAATAACTCCCGTCTCATCTTGAGCTCCGATTTTCTTCCCTACTCAGGATTATTTTCTTTTTCCCCTTAATAAATAACATTTTTCTCCCTTTTGCCCGTGGTTTGAACACCCGAATAACGAGAATGACCTCAAAATCAGGAATCATTTCCCTATTTTTTGGTTTAGTTGAAGTGATAAAAATACGGATAAAAACACCCGAAGTGAACAAAACCTCGGCGAGGGATGGGGCGGCGGGGGTGGCAGCAGCCCAGCCCCGGGGCACGGAGTTGATAACAGCAATTGAGAGAATTGCGGGTGTCTCTTCCCTTCTTTCTTTCCAGTTTTTTAGATAAAATTTCATTTTTTTTTTTAATATTTGGGAAAAACCTCTTTCTGCAGTTTCCTTTCCACCTCGGCAGCTGAGGCGCTTTTCCCAGCCCCGTCCGGGTCTCTGCTCTCCGCATTCCTCTACCTCATTCCTCTTCAATTCCCGACTCACCAGGATTTTTTTTTTTTATTATTTTTTAAACTCTCACTATTATTATTATATTTTAAAAATCCATTTATTTACTGCAAATGGCCAGAAACGATGAACATCCTGCGCGGCCGCGGGTGGAGGAGCCGAGACCATTTTTGCCCATCCCAGATATTATTATTATTATTATTATTATTATTATTATTATTATTATTATTATTATTATTATTATTATTATTATTATTATTANCCACCCCAAAATCACCCCAGGGCGCTGCAGAGCACCCTGAGAAGTGCCAGACACGCTGGGGACAAGGACAAGAGGAGCCTGCCCAGCCTCCTGCAGGCTGAGCTCCGAGCCCAGAGCTCGGGTAATTCCGAGCATCAGCCCAGCCTCCGTTCCCACACACCGCCACTCGCTGAAATTAAAGCAGGGCCTGATCTGATTCCTATGGCGGCTTAGCGCCCACTCAGCCGCTTTATCATAATCCCGACATAAAAATCGCTGCCTTGAAAACGCTCAGGGGTTTGAAGCCCTGATTGTTTGAAGAGGAAAGACTCTGTTCTCAGCACAAAGATGTGCTCCCCTCTCAGCCCCGGACGGGCAGCTGGAGGCTTCCATCAGCATTTCTGAGCCTCTAGGTGCCCGTGGCAGAGCCCTCACGCTTTCCTTGGCACAGAGATGCCCCCAAACCCAGCCGGACCAGCAGCACCCCAAAAAGAGCAGAGCTTTGAGGATTGGTGCTGGGAACAAGTCACCGCTGGCTGCCAGCCCTGCTGTGAGAGCATCTCTAAAAACCATCCCCTCTCCCTCCAAATCCAGCTGCGACTGCTTGTGGGAAGGAATTCAATCTGTGCATTTTGAAATGAAATAGATCCATGCAAATTTCTATGGTATTGGTGGGATTTCTTTGTGGTGGCACTGCCGTGCCATTCCACACCTGCCCAAGCCAGGCTGCATGGGACTGGGCTGGGAGGACAAGGGACACTTCATCTACCAAAGGGCTTGAGCCACCAGGGCCTCCTTTTGTTTTCAGTTTAAAACTGTAAAAGGCCAGCAAAAAATTTCCTCAATAAGGAAATGTCTATTTTCCTCAAACACTACAAAATCATTATTTTTAAAAAAAAAATTTTAAGCTACTTTTCATCATTCTGCGCTGAGAATTTTCAAATACGAAATTTAGGAAATTTAAGAAAGAAAATATACATATTTTATCCATCACAAAGTAAAAGTTCATATCCACTGGCAGTACCAACCAGCACAAGAATTTCTGCCCTTTTGCCAGTGTTCCAACCCGCAGCGCTCGTACAATGAGAGGGCTTTGGCCTCAGCACCAAACTGCTCTGCTGCATTTCTGCACTGCCAACACAAGCATTAAACCCAGAACCTAAAGGAGATCCACTGAGTGAAATTATAATTTTCAACAATTATATTTGTATAGGCTCACTCTCCTCAACAGCTCACTGAATCACAGAAAATCAGTATTGAATTTTCTCCCTTTTTTCTCCCCAATTCCAAATTGCTGCTAAACAAGAGAACGATTTGGAGAGCTGATACCTCGCTCCCCAACGAGTGTGTCTCCTATTAATGTCTCCAGCAGTTACGTGGCCAGAAGGGAGAGCAGAGTAGACAGTGCTGAGTGTTAACCAGTCAAATCAGAGTGTCCAAGCAAGCTTAAACGGCCACATGTAAACTGCAATTTGGATCAATGTCACGCAAACACACAGGGCTTACTGCTACAGCACTCCAGGAGTAAATCAGGGAGAAAAAAAAAGGAAAAAAAATTAAAAATCAGCTATTTGCAAGACTATACCTAAGCTCTTGGAGAGAGCCAGCTCACAGTCACACAGACAATTCTACCACTGGAAATGGTCATTCTCCACAACAAAAACTCAAATTAAAAAGAAATTCTAACCAGCCAAAGAGTGACATGCTCCAACAGCACCCAGAAACTGCAGCAAAGCTTGTGGCACCAGGAACCCCCAGAGACCCATCCAAGGGCTGAGGGGGCTGGAACTGGTTCCATTTCCCCTCCAAGCTGGGAGCACAAAGGGATGGGTGGTGAACATGGAGGTGCTTTAGCCCCACATTGTCACCACGTCCCTGAATGGCAGTGGGGGTCACAAGCATCCTAAAGAGAGATTTTTGGAGCTGGGAATGAGGTGCAAAAGCTCCGGAGAGGCAGCTTGGGCATGATGGGCTTGAAACCCACCCTCTCCATCACCAACCAGCACAGGCACCTCCTGCCCCTGGCTCCAGGCCCTCCACACATGGTTTGCTAAATTCTTGGAGGAGTTTCATCCTTGTCCCAGTTCACATCCCCCCACTCCTGCTCATGCCTTTGTTAGAGCCAAGAAGTGACACCATCCAAAGCAGCCTATGGCAACGCCGCAGAGCCCGCGATTGGTCACCCAGGAACACCAAAAGATGCTCCCACAGCAGCACTCCCAGCCCCTGATTGGAGAAAAAGGCATTTTTCCCCTCCTTGAGGGAAGCCACGGGCCAATGGTGGATGGCACATGGCAGCTTCCCAGGGCTCAGCCTGAATAAAAGTCCCTTGTCCCCCTTCGCGCCCAGACCTTGGGCCACCGCTCGGTGCCGACATCTCAGACACATCCTGGAGCACCAGCACCCAGGAGTGGTGTGAGCACCCAGCAGGACTTCTCCTGGCCTGGGAAGGATGAGTGAGGAGAGCTCCGTGCCGAGAGCTTTGTCACCGCTTTGTCACCAAAGCCAAGCCAACGTCACCCTGAGGTGCTCAGGCGGTGACCGTCCATGGAGGACGTCTCCCCTTCCATGGAGGGTGATCTCCCTGGGTCTGACTATCCATGGAGGATGTCTCCCCTTCCTTGGAGAGTGATCTCCCTGGGTCTGACTATCCATGGAGGATGTCTCCCCTTCCATGGAGGGTGATCTCCCTGGGTCTGAGCATCCATGGAGGATGTCCCTCCTTCCTTGGAGGCTGCTCTCTTTGGGTGTGAGCATCCATGGAGGAATTCCCCCCTTCCATGGGGGTTGCTCTCCCTCGGTGTGAGCATCCATGGAGGAATTCTCCCCTTCCTTCGAGGCTGCTCTCCCTGCCCATGGAGCTCATTCCCCGTTGTCCTGCCCTCTGCAATGTCCCTCTCTGGCTGGGGACAAACAGCCTGGCCAGGAGAGCAGCACTTCACTCGCCCCAGGGAGGAGCAGCAGGATGGCAAAGGAGAGCAGGGAATCAAACAAGAGCCTGTAAAAACTTCCCTACATCCCTGCCGGCACCAGCAACAATGGCAGAACCTCAATGGGAAGAAGGAAAGAAGCTTCTCCCTAAGCTTTCCCCAGTCAGATCATCACAGAACTCCACTTCACACATGTGCTAAATTATTCTGAATTAAAGGCCATGGGTGAGGGAGAATAAAATCTTGTTTATTAATTTCAAGCATTCATATGAGCAGGATAAATCTGTCACATCACACCCAGCACCACAGCCCTTCCCTGAAGGAAGGGCCAGGGCCAGCTCCTTGTGCCCTTTTGGGTTTTTCAGAGATCCCAACGAGCACACGAGCGAAACAAG